CTGAACCCAGGAGGCGGAGGTTGCGGTGAGCTGAGATCGGGCCATTGCACTCCAGCCTGGGTAACAAGAGCGAAACTCCGTCTCAAAAAAAAAAAAAAAAAAAGCATTTAGAATGAATTGACTACAGAGGCCGTATCAGAACTTGGTAAATGCAGGTATGATTAAGGCTCAAAGCTTCCTTCTGTCACTTCAGCTGCACTTTACAAGTTTTGCTATAGCTCCTGTGTACACACACACACACACACACACACACACACACCCCTGAGAGACTTCAAACTTGCATTTACCTCTTCTCAAAGCTGTTTTTCGAGTGTGGCTCCCCGGCATGGAGAAGGCTGAGACCACCTGGGACCTCCAAGGGCTCCTCCTGGCCGTCGGCTCTGCTTTCGGGGTTCAGTTCCTTCTCCCTCTTTCTCTCCATCTGCTTCTGTAACCGTTTGCGCTGCATCTCCTGCATTGCCTGGAACTGGAGCCGCAAAGTGTCCTGCGAGCTTTCATCTGCGGCCATCCTGCCCTGGGCGTCAGGAAAGAAGTCTGAGCCGAAGCAGGCTCCACACCGAGACTCCGCACACAGCGCGCCCGTCTGCAGGCCAGCCCTGGAGGTCGCTGCTCCGCGCTGCGTGTATGTCCACGCGGAAGCTTGGAAGCCCACCCTCACCTCACATCACTAGAAAGCCGAGGCAGAACTGAGCGGCCTCCCCATTCCTGAACACGCCACCAGACAGCCCACGGCCTCAGGACAGCCTCCGTCACTCACACTCAACACTCGACGCGTGCTGGCCCTAAATCAATGGCTCCCAAAGCCGGCTGAACATTCAAGTCCCCCAGGAACTCCCAAATAGCAATGCCTGCGACCATTTCCTGAGGAACGAAATCTCAATTTCCAGGAATGGCGCTTGGCCACTTCTTCTTTTTCTTTTTAAATTCAGGTATAACTCACATACAGTAAAGTACACAAATTCTGGCCACATGGCTCAATCAATCTTTCCACAGACGCACACCTCTGTGGTACACGCAGATCAAGGTACAGGGCATTTCCAGTCCCTGCTCTGCGCCTCCTCCAGGGAATCCTCCCCCAGGGTAACTATTATTCTCACCGCTACCACTGAAGATGAGTTTTGTCTGGTTTCTCTTTAGTCAATCTATCAAACAACAATCTATGTACAGTAAAAGACAGCAGGCCAGGTGCAGCGGCTCATGCCTATAATCACAGCACTTTGGGAGGCCAAGGCAAACGGACTGCTTGAGCCCAGGAGTTTGAGGCCAGCCTGGGGAACATGGTGAAACCTCATCCCTACAAAAAACTGGCTGTGGTGGTACAAATCTGTAGTCCCAGCTACGCAGCAGGCTGGGGCGGCAAGATCACTTGAGCCCAGAAAGTGGAGGCTGCAATGAACCACAATTGTGCCACTGCATTCCAGTCTAAGTAACAGTGAGACCCTGTCTCCAAAGAAAAAACAGAAAAGCAAAAAACACCAATTTTATGTGGACAAATTAGTTTTGACAAATATGTTCACCATGTCAACCACCTCCGCCATCATAAAAGAACATTTCCAACACGCCAGAACCCTCCCTGCTGCCCTTCTGCAGTCCATTTCCCTGCCAGTCCCAACCCCGGGCAAACTCAGGTCTGCTTTTGTTTACCACAGTTTTGCCTTTTCTGGAATTTCCTATGACTAGACTCATACAGTCGTTAGGCTTTTGTGTCTGGCTTTCTTACTCAGTGTGATCTTTTTGAGATTCATCCATATCACTGCATGCATGATAAGCTCATTCCTTTTTCTTACTGACTGATATACATTGTTTAGATAAACAACAATTTCATTATACATTCGGCTGTTGTTGGACGTCTGAACTGTTTCCAGTTTTGGCTATTATGAATAAAGCCGCTGACGGGCATGGTGGCTCAGGCCTGTCATCCCAGCACTTTGGGAGGCCGAGGTGGGCAGATCGCCTGAGGTCAGGAGTTTGAGACCAGCCTGACCAACATGGGGAAACCCTGTCTCTACTAAAAAAATACAAAATCAGCCAGGCGTCTCACTCCGTCACCTAGGCTGGAGTGCAGTGGCACGATCTTGGCTCACTGCAACCTCTAGCTCCCTGGTTCAAGCAATTCCCCTGCCTCAGCCTCCCCAGTAGCTGGGATTACAGGTGCCTGCCACCACACCTGGCTAATTTTTTTGTATTTTTGGTAGAGTTGGGGTTTCACCATGTTGGCCAGACTGGTCTCGAACTCCTGATCTCCGGCAATCCGGCTGCCTCAGCCTCCCAAAGTGCTGGGATTACCGGCGTGAGCCACTGTGCCCGGCTATGAATATATGTTTTTATTTCTCTTGGGTATATACCTAGAAGTAAAAATTCTGGCTTATACGGTATATTTATGTTTTACTTCAAAAGAAACTGCTGAACTGTTGGCCAGAGTGGCTGCACCGTGTTACCTTCCCCAGCAATGTCTGGGGTCCCAGGTGCCCCATCCTTGTCTGCATTTAATGTGGTCAGCCTAAATTTTAGTCTTTCCCATTGGTTATGTAAAATGGTATCTCAGCTGGGGGTGGTGGCACATGCCTGTAATTCCAGAACTTTGGAGGCTGAGGTGGGCGGATCACCTGAGGTCAGGAATTCAAGACCAGCCTGGCCAACATGGCAAAACCCCATCTCTACTAAAAATACAAAAATTAGCCAGGCGTGGTGGCACATGCCTGTAATCCCAGCTACTCAAGAGGCTGAGGGAGAAGAATGGCTTGAACCTGTAAGGCAGAGATTGCAGTGGGCTGAGATCGCACCATTGCACTCAGCTGGGCAACACAGCAAGACTCTCAAAAAAAAAATAGGTAAATACATAAATTAATTCAGATAAAATAAAAATAAAATGCTATCTCAATGTGGTTTTAACTTGCATCTCTGCTGACTAGTTACCTTTATTTTTATTTGTATTTTTGAGACGGAGTCTTGCTCTGTCATCCAGGCTGGAGTGCAATGGCACGATCTCGGCTCACTGCAACCTCCACCTCCTGAGTTCAAGCAATTCTCCTGCCTCAGCCTCCTGAGTAGCTGGGATTACAGGTACAAGCCACCACACAAAGCTAATTTTTTTTTTTTTAGTAGAGAAGGGGTTTCACTGTGTTAGCCAGGATGGTCTTGATCTCCTGACCTCGTGATCCACCCGCCTTGCCTGACTAATTACCTTGCATGTGCTTGCTGGCCATGTGTCTATATTCTTTTGTGACATGACCACTTGCATTTTTTTACCCATTTTTAAATTGTATTGTGTTTTATAACTGGGTGGTCAGTTTCTTATACATTCTTGATGTTTTGTCTGTTTGAACTTCACATAAATGAAATAATAGGGCACAGACACTGGAATTATTAAATGTTCCCCTCATGATTTTAAAGTGTAGCCAGTGGTGATGTCCCTGCCTCAAACCAACCTCAAGCCTGACACCATCTACCTATCATGCAATTAACCATAAATCTTGTGTATTCTCCATAAACGTCCTGAAATCTGCCCCCACATCCCCATTCCCACCGACATCAGGCTCATAACCACGAAGGGGCATCTGCACCTGCTGTTACCTCTGCCAGGAATGTCCCTTCCCCAGACATCCACCTTACTGGCTTCCTCTCAAATGTCCTCTTACCACAGAGGTTTCCCCACATCCTACCGTAGAAAGCATCCC